TACATGCCAGCAGGGGGCGCTTACTCATGAGCAGGAGTCCGGACTTGGCATGACTCAGGTGTTAGTCATGAGGACACCATGTGACAGGTCAGGAGACAGGACACGAGTCAGAAGACTCTGACCAAGCAGGGACAAATAGGTACCTGGTCTGTGCACCGTTGTAATTGTATAAATAGTAGGGAGTCTGAGGCAGGGAACCTCAGACTTGATCTTCTCGTCGATCACCCATCTCTTCTGTAGGTAGCTAGCAGCCCTACCTCTCACTGCCCCTTCTAGTCTAGGGAATCTACATCTTTGCATCATCTCTTGCTGTGTCACTTGTGGTTGTTTCGCTCTCAGCACCAACCCCTTCACCAGTAAGCTTTGTCTTTGTTTATCTGGTGGCACAGCTCGTTGGCTGTGACACCTCCCCTGGCAACCCCTTGTCAACTTCACCGCTGCCGCACCCTCTGACCTCGAATGGGCTTCCGGACGACGCCCCGGCCTAGGGTCCATCGGGGACCGACGGACCTTAGGAGGGGGGTAATGTCATGGACATTGGACAGACGCCCCTTTTTGCCGCCCATTCCCTTCCCTTTGATGCCCACCTTCTATTTTCGGACCGTTTCCTTTCCTAGCTCATCCCAGTTTGGACACGGTAGATACATTCCCACCGCCGCATGCTATGTTCCCGTGATCGCCATGCCTTTGCCTTTTTCTTCTCGCTCTTTGTTCTCCCTTTGTCATCTTCACTGCCTCGCTCTCGCGCCTTGTCCTTGGTTGCTAAGCAGCCCCTCTAGTATATAAGGACCCCTTTAGGCGCTCCCTAGTCCCCATCTCGACCTCTTGGTCATTGGGACTAGGTGAGTGACCATAGCGTTGTACTTCCCTTCGAGTGCTAATGTATAACTTGGTCATTGGGACTAGTCTGTCGCTCTCTGCGTGAAGACTAGCTTTCGTAGGTCTTGTGCCTTCGTGCCGGCCTCCGCTCTGCCCTCGTCGAGTTTCTTGTCACGTTTATCCCTCCTCTCTCTCTCTCCTTCCCTTTCAGCTCCTTGCCGCTCGCCTACGGGGTCGTCGCCAAACGACGACCCGAGTCTACGCGCCTAGTCGCCGCGACAGTTGCTGACTGCGTGTCCACGAAGAGCCGTTCTCGATGTTGTCGAGTATCCACTCGAGCCTGTCGCCGATGCGCTGAAGGGCGAGCCGATGGTCGTGGAGGATGTCGAGCAACTGGTCCTTGCGATCGAAAATGGCCTGCAGTCTTTTGATGACGGCACTAACCTTGGAGCCTACAATGGCAAGGAGATCAATGGGATCGCGACGTGCGAAGGAGGGGATAGGTGGTGCAGAGATACGGTACTGGAGAGGGACTGTAGGGTCGGATGGGACAAAGACTGGTGGTGGTGTGGTGAGACGTGCAGCGAGCGGTCTGTCGAGCGGCTGACTGGGGGGCACGGATGGTAGAAGGGCCTTGCGACGAGGGATGATAGGGGTATGCCGATATTGACGGCGGTGACGAAGACGATCCGAAGTGTCGTCTGCAAGGGTGTGGTCAATCTGGGACTGGACGTCGAGGTGACTGGACGTCGAGGTGACTGGACGTCGAGGTGACTGGACGTCGAGGTGACTGGACGTCGAGGTGACTGGACGTCGAGGTGACTGTGTCTCTTGAAGTGACGACAGGTAAACTCTGGTAGGTCCGAGTCGGATGGAAGGATAGTGGGGGGGGATGATAAATGTTTCAAAAAACTCCTGGGGAGAGAGATCCGGTCAGCAAGTGGTTGAGACACTCCACGGAGGGGATGGGTAAGAGACTTGACCTAATGTCACAGCCAACGAGCTGTGCCACCAAAACAAACAAGGGCAAAGCTTACTGATGCAGAGGTTGGTGCTGAGAAGCGAAGCAACCAGAGGTGACACAGCAAGAGATGTGAAGAGATGTATTCCCTAGACTAGAAGGGGTAGTGAGGGAGGTAGGGCTGCTAGCTACCTACAGAGGAGATGGGGAATCGATGAGAAGATCAAGTCTGAGGTTCCCTGCCTCAGACTCCCTACTATATATACTAATACAACGGTGCACAGACCAGGTACCTATTGACCATCGTTTGGTCAGAGTTCTCTGCCTCACGTCCTACCCTCTGACCTGCCTCATGGTGACCTTACGACTAATACCTGAGTCGTGCCGAGTCCGGACCCCTCCCAATGAGTAAGTGCTCCTGCTGTCACATCAGTCACCTGCCAGTGAGTGAGGATGGGCGCTCTTGCCCGTCACGAGGTCTGGGGTTTGATCCTGGCCCCTCCACTTTCCGATACAAGTTGCCCGTGGTCAAGGTGAGCATCTGTCCCAGTACACATGACCCCCAGGTCACATGGCACGAGAAAACTGTGACAGGAGTCTGTGGAGCCAGTAAACGGTCTACATAGTCAGAGTACACACACACAGTGCCATAAAGCTAGACAGTATTGCACAGACTTTTGTCAGAATTGTCAAATACAACCGCAACCAACTCAAACTCGACGAGGTCAATTTTGGAAAAATAGGAAACCCCATACACCTTGTGGCAGAGCTTCTAAGGTTTATAGAGAGCTGGGATTCACCCCTCACCCAAACATTTAGAGATTTGTTATATAAACTCTTCTCACACCCAAACCTCGAGAAGTACGACAGCGGGCATCAAGACATTGATAGACATGGTATCGTAGCATGCACGCCCCTCACGAATCATCCATTTGAACACAGAAACCAATATCATTCAAAGACTATAATACCCGCAGTAGAAAAGCCATGCTGCTAATCGTTGTAGTACACTAGTTCCCTCGAGTCCGAGTCCAAAGCAACCTTGCTCCACCTCATCTTTGCTGTCAGTCCACCCTGTGCACGCTTCAAGCTTGGCATTTGCAACCTTTGTCGCTGTGTTTGTGACTTGCACAGTATGGGTGTCCAGTACAACACCGCTGCCACCACAACTACACCAACACGAGTCTATGGGGCAACTAACACAGGCAAAACGATGGCTTACCATCTACTCATTACAGACCAATATGAACTCACCAAGAATAGACCAGAATTTAATGGTACCGCAGTCTATTAAACCAAGGGGACATACGAGCAGGGCTTGATAGATGAAAAACTCACAATAAACTCTGATGGTTCACTCACAGAGAGCTCAGATACTCAAAGCCCATGAATCAAACCGGACGACAGAGTGGGGTCATGGAGGAGGGGGGAAGACGTCAAAGTAGTGGAGGCAATGCCAGCATTAACGGGCATGTTGATGTTGCCACGTGGGGTTTAGGGCCGGTTGTTGAAAACTTTGCGCATTTATTGTACTGCTCTACTCGCACAAGAGGAGATCCTGTGACTATATTCTACATGGCAGCGACTACACACTGGTTCTACAGGTGCAGGACAAGTCCCATGAGTAGAAAGGGAGCAGCGGGCGATTGTCATCACTTAATGGCGTCCTCGGAACCTCGGCTGGGCTTCTGAGCGCTCGCAAGCTGATAGGCACTACTCGAGAGGGCTCGCGATGCTCAGAAGCTCTGGTGGGGTCTCGCAATGTTCGGGAACTCCGGTGGGGGGTTCGCGAGAAATAGTTTTTTTTCCTGATGTACTCTGTTCCCTCCACACAGATGGGGGATTGCGGTGGGGGTGTTCTGATAGCTATGGTGGGCAGTGGTAGTAGCCATGTACAGTGTGTTAGGACCAGCAAGACACTATGTTAGGGAGCCATTGTGGACAGCACAGGTGGTATCGCAAGCGCGCAACGATGACAGCCGACTTTGTCAGAATGCCCCAAAGGGGTGTCAACATGTCACACAGGTCACCGAGCAGGGAGTCATGCGGGTGAATCCACCAGACGTTCAGGAGCTCAGATGCACCCGGTTTTTTGCATCCGATTGAGGCTCCGAACGTCTGGTCACGAGACTATCAAAACATAATAACGGCCGATTTTGTTCTTAGGTCTGTTGTAATTTCTTACACCTGGTCGAAACCGACGCATCGCTGCAATACAAGATTGAACTCGTCTCGAGTGGGATGGTAGATGGACCTACGGGTGGTGTAGGCACTGCCAGTCGACTGGAGAGTCTCCGGAGTACAACGGTCTTCTGTGGTAAGGCAGTTACTTATATATAGAAGATCGCTCTATCAAGGCTGATGACAGGCCATGGGAACGAGCGTGGTCAACTGGAGGATCGGTCGCAGACGTCATGCAGCACAAGACCGACAGTTGCACACCTTCGACTCATACCACCACCATCTCCAATAAGCGCCCACTTCCCATCCCCTCCCGTGAGTCCTCCTCGTCGTCCTCTACTAACAATGGCATCTACAGTCTCCTCTACTGGTCAAGCTGCCTCAAAGAAAACCACTGCCGTCGACCCGGCTCCCCGTATGTCTCCCTCCAGCTCTACTAGTTCCGACGTATCTATGGCCCGCTCCATCTCGCCCCCTCCCACCCTCAACGTCCCCAGCGACACTCAAATCTCCGCTACGCCCGCCGGCCTCTACACGCAGCCCGACAGCCCAGGTCTTTCCACCCAGGCCCGCCTCTACAATGCGGAGGCACCTGCACTCGCCTTCAACCTTGCGGCCGAGGCCGCGCTTCTGCCTCATGGCCCCCTCCCCTCTACCTCGCCTGCCCCGCCTGTCTCCAGACTCGGCAAATTGGACCGGTACTTCCGGTCCCTCAGTGCCCATTTCACTCCCCTCTCCCAGCCTGCTCCGGACTCCCCGCTCCCGGCGTCTGTCCCGTCTTTCCGGCACCCCGCTATCCTCAGCGCTCGCTTCCTGGCCGCTATGGCCAAACTCAACGCTCAACCCAAATCCCAACGCCCCCCGGAGGAAAAAGCCCGTCTGGGGGACATCCTACAAGCCTTCCTCAATGACAGCTTTTCCACCGCGTCCCGCAAAGCCGCGAATGCGGCCTACGCGTTCGTCCGCGGTCTCCTCGACACCTCCCCCTTCTCCACTAGTGACGCCCCCCCCCCGAGGTGCACGACCTTACACCCGATCTCGACTCACTCGACTTAGAGACAGTTACTGACATTCTCTTTGCTCTTGTTATGTTCTTCCGCACTCACACCGACGTCCCCCCTAAGAATTTTGACAGGGCCCACGTCCCCCGGGTGTTACAGCGAAGCGTGTCAGCACTCAAGGGGTCGTGTGCAGGTTATGCACAACGAGGACGCAGACTGATGACAAGCTTAGCACACTGGTTCACTGGGGGTCTGGGGGTTCGAGGTCACTAGGGGTCTAGGGAGTGAGAACGCTTGATTGGTACAAGAGGTCAAACTGGGGTGCCCAGTGCAAGACCTGTCCTTATATACTAAAGTACACGGTCGCTGACTAATCGGAGAACAATAGCGAATGGGGACAAAGGAGTCACGTGGTGTTGTGACCACGTAGTACAATGGCGAAAAGAACAATAACAATGAGAACAATGGGGATATGAAGCATGGTGTTGGAACCATGGTAGGTACGAGTGTCCGGGTTGTGCCGTAAGAAGAGGGAATGCATGGTAGAGAGGA